ACAGCATACCAACTGCCTCTATTATTATTATTATTATTATTATTATTATTAGTTATTTGAGACAGTGTCTCACTGTATAGCCCTGGCTGGCTTAGAGCTTGCTATGCAGACCAGGCTAGCCTGGAGCTAACAGAGATCTGTCTGCTTCTGCTTCATTGAGTGCTGGGATTAAACCTGTGTGCCAACATGCCTCACCCATTATTATTACTATTATTATTTTTTTTAATTTATTTTGGTCTTTTTGAGACAGGGTTTTCCTGTAGCCCCAGCTGTCCTGGAACTCACTATGGAGACCAGGCTGGCCTTGAACTCACAGAGATCCCCTGCCTCTGCCTCCCGAGTGCTGGGATTAAGGATGTTGCCCACCACGCCCGGCTCCATTATTATTATTTTAATTTTTACTTATTTGTGTGTGTGTGTGTGTGTGTGTGTGTGTGTGTATAGGTGTGTGCATGTGGAGGGTAGAGGACAACTTGCAGGAGTTGGTTCTTTCTGAGGATCCCAAGGATTAAACTGAAGCTGTCTAGTTTGGAGGCAAACACCTTTATTGGCTGAGGGCAAAGCCTCACTATTAAGCTTAGGCTGGCCTTAAGCTTGAATGTAAGGTCCTTCTGTCGGAGTCTCCTGAATGCTGAGCTTACAGGTGTGCACTGCTAAGCCTGGGTTAATAAGAATTGTTTTTGATTACTTAAGTCTATCTTCCTGTACACAGTATGATCTGAAATTAGAGATAATAGCTGTTGGGGCTGGAGAGATGGCGCAGTGGTTAAGAGCTGGCTGCTCTTGCAGAGGACCGGGGTTCGATTCCCAGCACCCACATGGCGGCTATGAACTGTCCTTAACTCCAGTTCCAGGGGAATCTGACATCCACTTCTGACCTCCGCGGCATTGCACGACACGGGTGCACTCACATACATGCAGGCAATACACTCATACGTATAAAATAAAAATAAAGCCAGGCATGGTGGCACATGCCTTTAATCCCAGCACTCTGGAGGCAGAGGCAGGTGGATCTCTGTGAGTTCGAGGCCAGCCTGGTGTACATAGTGAGTTCCAGGACAGCTGGGGCTACAGGGAGACCCTGTCTCAAAAAGACAAAAAAAAATAATAATAATAGTAAATTTAAAAAAAGAAATAATAGCTGTTTATTTTGGGGCTGCAGAGATGGATCGGCGGTTAAGAACACTGGTTGTTCTTGCAGAAGACCCAGGTTTGAATCCCAGCACCCACATGGCAGCTAACAATGGCCTGTAACTGCAGTCCCAGGGGATCCGACAGCCTCTTCTGACCTCCATGGGCATTGTACAACATGGGTGCACTTACCTACATGCAGGCAATACACACATACACATAAAATAAAAAAAAATAATAATAGGTTTTCACCTTTACCAATTGAATGAAAAACCTAATTGCAGTAATTGGATTTCGAAGGAGGTTAAACAAGTTCTGGAAAACCAATAGAGCACTCTGTTTTCTCTGTATTGTCTGTTTTTCAGTTACTTGTCTTTCTGTCTTTAGTGTTTTCCTTTTAGCTTGGCCAGCCTCTTTGTAGAATAAAGATATTAGTTACTAGTCTTCTTGCCAACTGCACATGCTTTCCTCCGCTTTTTGGGGAATTATTTTTAGACAGGTTTTTTATTTTATATGTAGTTTAATCCTTCAGTTTTATTTTCAGAGTCTATAAGCTCTACCCCTCTGTGAGCAGCAGGTTGCTCTGCAGTAGAGTTTTGTTTTTTTTAAAAATATGATTTGACCATTCTTGAATTGGGTGTCCTGTGTAAAATGAGGTTCTTTATTAAGTACTCCATCAGCCAATAGTAATTAATGCAGTCATATGGTATATTTTTTTACCCTATCTTGTCTTAGATCTGCATTCTTTGTAACTTATATATTTTAGTCTTTAGTCACTGTGTTGCAAAAGTGTGTGTGTAACTTTTGTGCTTTTTATTTGGATACTATGTTATTTTTCCAGATTAAAATTTGTTCATTTAAAAAAATAATAAATAGCCAGGCATGGTGGCACACACCTTTAATCCCAACACTCGGGAGGCAAAGGCAGGCAGATCTCTGTGAGTTCAAGGCCAGCCTGGTCTACATAGTGAGTTCCAGGACAGCTGGGGCTACTGGGAGACCCTGTCTCAAAAAGACCAAAAAAAAATTTTTAAATAGCTGTTTATTTCGTTTCTTGAATTTATTATACAATGTCACTGCATATGAGAATCTCTAAGCAAGTTAAGTACATGAAATTTCTGCCAGTATGAGACTGGACCTCGCTGAGTATAGTGATACACTCCAGTAATCCCAGCATTTGGACCTTGAGAGCTTGTTTGGAAATTCCAGCAGGGAAGCACTGCCACTTGTATACACTTGACCACAGAACGGTCCTCCTGTATTGGAGAAGGTCATTGTTTTTAACTGAGCACACAGCTTTGGGAGGGATATATTCAGGGTGGTGAGGGAGAAAGGGGATGCCCCCCTAGACTCAACACTGGTGATTAGAGTGACAGATGTTGCAACTAGATTGCCCTCACATCCAATCCCAGCATTTGGGAGGCTGAAGCTGGGAGACTGCTGGTTTGAGTCCAGCCTGGGCTATACAGCAAATTTGAGGCCAGCATGAGTTAGAGAGTGAGACTCTGTCTCAAAAAAGTAAAACAACAGCAACAAAAACCAAAGCAAAGCACACTGAATCTTGGCAAAACACACTAAATCTTTGGTGATACACACCCATAATCGCAGCATTTGGGAGGCACCAGAAGTCAGAAGGATAGTGTTGAATTCAAGGCTAGCCTGGGTCACATAGTGAGATTCTGTCTCAAAAACAAAAACCAAAAAACCAAACCCAAACCAAACTGCAATTTTCAAAGTTATTTTTTATTTTTTTAATCTTTGTCAAAGGAGCAAAGGAAGGATAATTCAGAAGTCAATAAAAACAATGATCTTTAGGAAGTGAATAGGAATGGGGTAAAGGGATGGGAATCAGACTGAGACGTCTCAGTGAACTTTGGATTTACCTGTGACTTTTGACATCTATGAATGCTCCATATATTTTAAAATTATGGAATATTAGAAGGAAAAAAAGCCATGTCAGTGGGCATCAGTGTGCAATCCTAGACTTTGAGCAGAATGTGACAAGTACTTGGAGCCTTGAGTCTGTGTCCTCCAATAGGAGAGGACAAGCTATTGGAGAAATGGAGAAGAGGCCTGAACTGAGTGGGTAATGGACAGCAGAGAGAGCAGCATTGGTGGAGCCTGCATTTCACTGATGGCAGAAGACAGACAATAAACCGAATAAATAAGGAGACAGGGCACATGGGAAGGAGAACAGGAACAGAGACAGTACTGGTGGGTAAGGAGAAGGACTGCTGGGAAGGAAGGGGTAGAAATTTTAAGTACTTACTGTGAGGGAAGCTCACTGAAAGGCAGGGGCAAGCCACCTCTGCAATAGCTAGGATACTCCAAGCTGAGAGGTAACAGTGAGCTCAAAGACTTGGCAAAAGGCACTCAAAACACATTAGTTGAGGGAGTAAGTGAAAATACAATGCACCAGAATGATCAGACTCAACACACTGGTCAGTCACAGAGTTTACTATAATAGAAGAATGGCTGGCAGGGAACAGGTGCAGAGCAGAGTGCAGGGATAGCAGAGGGCAAGCTTCTGACTGTGGCACCACAGTGCAGATTCATAGCCAGGTCTTCATCCTTGGCAGTGATGGGCAGGAATGTTCAAGGTGTGCTGCCAAGTAGGGATGTTCACTGAAGCCCTGGTGCCCAAGCTTTTAATTTGTTTTGATTTTTTGGGGGGTTCTTTTTGAGACAGGGTCTCCCTGTAGCCCCAGCTGTCCTGGAACTCACTATGTAGACCAGGCTGGCCTTGAACTCACAGAGATCCGCCTGCCTCTGGCCGCCCCCTCCCCCCCCCCCCCCCCCGCAGTGCTGGGATTAAAGGCGTGCACCACCACGCCCGGCTCCAAGCTTTTTAATTTGAAGTTAAATCAGGTATAAATGTTAATGAAGCTAAAAGGGACCAATGAGACAACTCCAATGCATTTGACTTTGTAATACTATCACCTAATGTTAAAAATATTGACCATCTTGAGTTTGCCCCAGGACTTTTATCAGTTTGTGCTCCCTGATCACACAGTGGCTGGCATAAAAAGGAAGTCCAGTAGCACACAACATGCAAGGATACTGTTAGGTATGGACAATCTGCCTTGGGCACTCATAGAAGAAAGACCCCATTAGGCTAAGAAAGTTTTTTTTTAATATTTATTATTATTTTTTTATGTGTATGCTTGTATTGCCTGCATGTAGGTAAGTGCACCTGTATTGTGCAATGCCCACGGAGGACAGAAGAGGCTGTTGGATCCCCTGGAACTGGAGTTAGGACAGTTGTTAGCTGACATATGGGTGTTGGGATTTGAACCCGGGTCTTCTGCAAGAACAACCAGTGTTCTTAACCGCTGAGCCATCTCTCCAGCCCCGAAAATTGTTTTTTTGTTTTCCTCAAATCCTACATTTTACTCTAAAACTGGTACAGAAAACATGATCACTATATTCCTGAATTTATACAACTGTATTGCTTGTATAAATGACAGTTTTCATAAGATTTAATTCCCCAAATTGCAAATATTTACTAAATTTATTAATTTAAAATTTTACTATTTTCAAGTTAGTATTTCTTCTACTTCAAATATCACTATTACAAAATAATTCTAAACTTACAGAACTCTGTATTGTGCTGCTTCAAAGGTAAATCAACTAGAAATACAGACAACAGGTTAAAAAATAAGTGTTTACCCTTTCCTTGGGGTGCTGTCCAAAGAAATCAGGATGGACAGCAAAATAGAAAGGCCTCAAGGCGTTAACAGCTTCTGCTCCTGATAAAGCTCGAGAGTAGTGAAACCAGTCGGGGAGGATCTTCTCCAGGCAGAACCTGTCAGAGACACATGGGTTATTTTCTAGCACAAATAGACATGCACCCCACACAGGAGGTGACAGTCTACCTAAAGTACCATGTAGGGAAAATACCACAAAAGCAAAATGGAAATTCTGGTTTCCTGAAATCTATCTGGTTTCTGAAGTAGTGGCTATAAGTTCCTCTAATGCAATATGAGAAGCAGTCTTTATAACAAAATTTCCCCTTCTAAATGTGCTTGCAGACAGCAACTGGCCTTGCTACAAATGAGTTTTCTTCTTGTGAAGAAAATTCTGTTCTATTGTTCTATTCTCCATTTTTACTAGTGTACTATTTCCTTCATGATGGAAAATATCCTGAGAATTACAGCATTTACAAAAGATGTCTCTTGTTAATTTCTTCATCACTAACATGGCAATCTGACATTCTCATTCTTAAATTGCATCCTGATCTAACTTGAATATTTTAAAGTAATTTTTATTTTCCTCAATGAAAATAATACTACAGTTTTTTAAGCCCAAAGGAAATGACTTGTGATACATGGGAAGCATTTCCACAAAGCCTAGTTTCGAATATTACAATTTACATTTTCCATTCCTAGGTATTCTAAAAAGAAGTCTCAATGTTGAGCATGCTTTTATAATGTATCAGTATGCTGAGTCTTTGGAAAGGTTTTTCTCTTTTAAAATGACAGGGATTCTAGAATCAATTTGGAAGATTTCTTAATAGTCTAGAAACCACCAGCATATTTTCAGTTATCTTCTGTTTTATTTTGTGCATGTATTTGAACCTTTTATAAAGTCAGTGTATAGGTGGTATGGTAAGGATTATAGCAGGACTTTGAAGAACAAGAAAAGGGAGGCTGGGGAGATGGAAAAGTGCTGAGTAATCATGAGGACTGAGTTCCTGTATCATGTAAAAAACAAAACAAAACAAAACAAAACATAATAAAACAAAACAAAAGCTGGACATGGTGGCACACACTTGTAATCCCAGGGATGAGGAGGTGCAGACAATTGAATCAAAAAACAAGGTAGACAGTACCTGAACCTCGCTATGTATACCAGGCTGGCATTGAACTCACAGAGATCTGCCTGCCTCTGCCTCCGGAGTGCTGGGATTAAAGGCATACACCACCACATCTGGGCTCTCTTAAACTCTAAAACATCAAACTATGTGTTCTGCACTTTTTCCTCTTAAGATTTTCATACAGGGGCCTGGAGAGATGGCTCAGCAGTTAAGAGCATTGGCTGCTCTTGCAGAGGACCCAGGTTTGGCTCACAGCACCCACATGGAGGCTAACAACCATTCATAACTTCAGTTCCAGGGGATCTGATGTCCTCTTTTGACCTCTGTTGGCATTGCACGACACAGGTGCACTTACATACAAGCAAGCAATACATTCATACACATAAAATAAATAAGGTATTTAAAAATTAAAATAAAAAATGTGGTGCAATGCCCACAGAGGTCAGAAGAGGCTCTTCGGATCCTCTGGGACTGGAGTTATGGACAGTTGTTAGCTTCCATATGGGTGCTGGGATTCGAACCTGGGTCTTCTGCAAGAACAACCAGTGTTCTTAACCACTAAACCATCTCTTTAGCCCCTAAATAAGGTATTTTTAAAAAGATTTTCATACAGCCAGGTGTGGTAGTCGGCTCATGCCTTTAGTCCCAGCACTCAGGAAGCAGAGACAGGCAGATCTTTGTGAGATCAAGGCCAGATTGGTCTACATAGCAAGTTCCAGGCCAGCTGAGGCTACAGAATTATTTTGAATGAAGTCTTAGAAGATTTGGCTGCTCATATAAATTTTTTCTTCTTTTTTATTCCTGCCTAATACCATAATATGATATAGTTTTAGAATCTGAGAAACAAATTGAAATTAGCTCAATAAATAGCAGCACCTCCCCTATATAAATACAGATTGGACCACAGAGCTTACCTCCTCAAAGGTCTCAGGTGGCAAAACATCTCTGTATATGCACAGCAACTTCCAAGCATCCATTAATTGCCTAACAGATTAAGCACACAGAAGTTGTTAAAAAGTGAAATCTGAAATAAAAAAAATTCATTACCCTTTGTTATTACCTGCAAATGAACTACATAGGTATTAACCTAGTAAATATGTACAAAATCCACATGTGTGTGAGGGTGGGTTTGACTTTCTTTTTTGTTGTGCTGATAAAAATGCCTTAGCAAAAGCCGTTTAAGGGAGAACATTTTGGCTCATAGTTCCAGGAGCAGAATACAGTCCATCATGGTGGGGAAGACACAGCACCAGGCAGGGGACTCTACCTCTTAAAGGTTCTAGAACCTTCCCAGTCAGCACCACTAACTAAGAACCAAGTGTTCAAACACATGAGCCTTTGGGGGGCATTTTCCAACCACAACAGGATATTTATAGAAAAGTTTAGCTGAGGAGGGAAGACCCACTGTGAGTGTGTAGCACTACACCATGGGCTGAGGTGCCAATCTAGTTCAAGAAGTAACTCTCCATATTCACATACAATCAAATTTCAGTATTTAATTACCGGATCTGTATGTCAGTATATACAATTACCTGTTTTTGTAACATTAGGGAATGGACCCAGGGCTTTGTTCATGGAGCAAGTCTTCTTCTACCACCGAGCCACACTCAGATGTTCATTTTTTAAAAAAAAATTTAGATTATTTTTATTTTATGTGTATGCGTGTATTGCCTGCATGTAGGTAAGTGCACCCATGTCGTACAGCCTCTTCTGACCTCTGAGAGCCTTGTACGACATGGGTGCAATGCCACAGAGGTCAGGGCATTGGATCCCCTGGGACTGGAGTTACGGACAGTTGTTAGCTGCCATGTGGGTGCTGGGATTCGAACCCAGGTCTTCTGCAAGAATAGCCAGTGTTCTTAACGCTGAGCCATCTCTCCAGCCCCTCAGCTGTTCATTTTTTTTTAAATTTATATGCATGAGTATATCGCCTGCATGTGTGTAAGTGCACCCATGTCTTTCAGGGCCCTCAGAGGTCAGAAGAAGGTGTTGGATCCCCTGGAACTGGGCATGATGGTGTATGTACATCTTTAATTTCAGCACTCAGGAGGCAGAGGCAGGAGGATCTCTCTGAGTTTGGTCTACACAGTGAGTTCCAGGGAAATCAGGACTATATGGTGAGGCCCTGCCTGAAAAACAAAACAAAACAAAACCCCAACTGCTTCTATACATAAAAGATATTCAGATAATAATTCTGATATCTACTCAACTAAATTATGGTTGTAAGATAAATATTTCCTATATTAAAAGTTAATTGCATATTTTTTTGGTTCTGTTTTAGAGCTGGAATGTGGGAACTAGAGAGATGTCTTAGCAGTTAAGAGCACTTACTGCTTTTGCAGAGGACCCAGGTTCGGTTCTCAGCACCCACATGGTGAATCACAACAATCTGTAACTTCAGTTGGGGATCTGACTCTTTCTACTGGCCTCCATGGGCACCACACACACACATACATGGAGGCAAAATACTTACACACACACACATACAAATAAATCTTAAAAATAACTATAAAAATGTAGGTAGAGATATTTAGATACATACTTGTATTGTAAAAATTAAATGGAGATTTTTCAGGGTGTTTTTTTCCTTTGAATTAGTTCCATGTTTCCTGTGCAATACTTAACCTTTGAGATTTTAAAAAATGAGGGCTGGCAAGGTGGCTCAGTGGATAAAAGTGCTTGCTACCAAGTCTGATAACCTAAGTTTGATCCCCAGGACCCACACAGGGGAAGAAGAAAATAGATTCCTGCAAGTTTTCCTTTAATCTCTACATGTACAATAAATACATGTAAAAGAGAAAAGAGATTCTATGTGGGGGGGGGAGTGGTAGCACATACCTGTAATCCTAGTACTCAGGGAGGTTGGAGCAGGAGGAATAAAGATAATTCAAGTCACCCTGGGCTAGTGAGACTGTCTCTCAAAAAATGAGAAAAAGATTCTCAAAGTATATAATGTTAGAGTCCAGCATGGCTCTTCCCTGTTCCTGGCTGACAGTTTTTTGGTTAGACCCTAACTTTGTAAAACCAAAAACCCAATTTTATTATTTCCAGTAGAAATAAGCAGGCCAGGGGAAAACTAAACTAGAACAGGTCTGACTGATAATCAGAACATGAACCATTTAACCAACTTTGAGAAATGTCGCACCTCAGAAGATTAGAAGATTCAGATCTAATAATCTCTTATAGGACATGCTAAGAAGAGACAGAACAGGACAGGGAAAATCAAGGGACAATGAGAAGGGAAAGGAGCACCTCCTCTCAGATGGCTGAGAACCAAAATCTCAGAAAGAAGACTTTAAACTGGTGTTGCTAAGACATATTAGAGTTATACCTAAATAAACCGCCTGACTCTTCGAATTAGTTTTAAGGTCAAGAGTGGACCTGAACTCCTGAGCACAGGTCCACTGAGCAGCTCAGTGAACTTGTTCATGTGATAAACAGTTAACTTTTCCGTTGCAAGTAAAAGTCATTAGCCCAGACTGTATTCATACTGTAAAAGTCATTCCTATAGTAAACCATGTTCATTGTCAAAACATATGTCTTGATAATCTTTAAAATCATTTGAACAATATAGCTTCAAAGGCTACAAAATCACAAGTGCACACACTTAACTATTTTTTAAAAAATATTACTTATTTGCTGGTATGTTTGTGCTTGCTTGAATTTATGTGAACCATGTGAATGCAGGAGCCTGGAAAGGCCAGAAGTGGGTTATCAGATCTCCTGGAACTGGAGTTACTGGAAGCTGCCATGCAAGTAATGAGAACCAAAGCCCAGTCCTCTGCAAGAGCAGTAAGTGCTCTTAACCACTGAGCCATCTCTCTAGCCCCAGGCACTTTTTAAGATATTTAAGCTGTTTTGATAAGCCTCTGCCCACCCTTGGATGTACAAAACTGTCTTTTCTTAAGCACCCCCCCAACTGCAATTTCTAGAAAAAAAAAGACATCTATGTTAAACATTCTACAGGCTGACTGATAAGAATTCATTGAGGATGGAGAGTTGGAATGTTGAAAGTCCCCTTACCAATCATTCATTGCGTACCCCAATGTCCGACCTAAAATTATTTTTGACTATCAGATAAAACCTTTGGAATATATTAACCTACAAGACCAACCCAAAAGCTAAGAATATCATCAGATAGCAGTTATGATCTACTGCACTTCCACATTGAAAATTGTTATAAAGGGCAAAATGAACCCATCTTCCCAGTCCATGGTCATTCATATTTGGTGCAGAATATCAACTTTCTATTATTATTCCTTTTGAGGAGAGAGCTCTTTTTTGCATTGATACCCTTAACCCTAAGTCCATATTAAAACCTTTCTTTCCTCTTTTCTTTTTTTTTAGTCTTTCCAAGACAGGGTCTCCCTGTAGCTCCAGCTGACCTGGAACTGACTACGTAGACAAGGCTGGTCTTGAGATCCACCTGTTTCTGCCTCCTGAATGCTGGGATCAAAGTCATGCACCACCATGCTTGGCATTACAACTTTTCTTTTTTAAACTATTTATTTTTATTTTATGTGTATGAGCATTTTGCCTGCTTGTATGTATTAGTGTTTCAAACCACAGCAGCCCTCCCCCTCTCCAACAGGGTTTCATGGACTTTGGATTTCTCAAGCCCCTGAGAAAAGGGAACTGAGTTGATAAGCACCTTGGTCTTTGAAGTCAAGGGGAGCAGGCTCTTCTAAGAGGCAGCCTGCCTTTCCTTTGATCTCCAAAGACAAGATAAGCAGATTCTGCCTGTTAACCAGAGATTTTAGGAGCTGCTTTAGTACAGCAGCTTTTCCCTTATAAGAGGACAAAAAAAAAACAAAAAAAAACCCCACTTCCTGACCCAGATCC